AAAATGTAGAAATATGGACCTGTATAATATGGCCCTACAGGTAAGTCAAAATTCAAAGCACAAATGGAGCACAGGGCTAGTTAATAGGTCTGGAGTCTTTGGTTGTGTGTGACTCATTCAAAGTTTAGCCTCAGGAGTCAGGGACCAGCCAGACCCTGTAGTTGGTGTCATCACTTCACAGCATAGCACTGAACTTGAAAGTCACCTGAACCAGAGTTCAGCTGAGAAAACCTGGCATTTCACAGTTGCACATGGATGTCACTAGAGATGTAGCTGGTAGGCTTGTGTTGGGGTCCTGGAGCCCTGTGCACATAATGGGCATCTCTTGCTTCCTTTCCAGTAAGTGGGCTGCCCTGAATTTCAGGCAGTCTTGCCATGGTTAGAGCCTAACAGGTGTCTCAGGCAGGAGCACGTCCATTTCCCTTGCCCCTGCGTCATCCCCAGCATCACTTCCCTAGCCCGCCTTCTCCCTCTGTTGTCTAGCCAGATGACTCCGACAGCCCTATCTCCCTTTCAGCCTTCAGGCCTTCAGTGCCCCTGCCAAGGCATCTTCTCCTTTTCTCATTTTCCCACACTCCAGTTTTCTCCTGACTACCCCTTTTTCTTTCTTTTCTTTTTTTTTCCTTTTTTTTTTTTTTCTAGACAGAGTTTCTCTGGGTAACAACTCTGGCTGTCCTGGAACTCACTTTGTAGACCAGGCTGACCTCAAACTCACAGAGCTCCAACTGCCTCTGCCTCTGCCTCCACTACCCGGCCCGTGTGTGTGTGCTACCACTGCCTGCCCCCCCCTTTTCTTTTTTGAAGACCTGTTTTTATTTTATTTATGTGTATATATGTTCATCTGTGTGTGCATGCCAAGTGTATGCTCATGCCCTCGACAGCCAGAAGAGCATGTTTATTCTCTGGAGTTGAAGTTACAGACAGTTGTAAGCTTCCTGACAGGGGTGCTAGAAACTGAACGTGGGTCCTCTACAAGAGGAACAAGCATGTATAACCACTGAACCATCTCTCCACCCCAAAGCTTGTCGTACTTAAGGTCTTCCCTGGCCCTGCTGTGTGTTCCCCTCTGGGCCCTATTCCCTCTGGTTCCTCCCCTCGTACACGTCTTGCACTGTGCTATGAAGGCCTTTGTTCCCACAGAAGCTGACGTTCCAGGAGGGAGCAGGTAGACTACATCTCATCCGTCTTTGTCTCCCGTGGAGCTGGTGCAGGGCTTAGAATGCAGTTGGCATTCAGTAAGCATTTGCTGAAGGAACGTGTTAATCACTTGTGGTGCCTTCGATGCTCACCTTCGCCTTCCCAGCCGGCAGACACCTGCGTTTCTGCAGGTTTGATTCATCGTCCCTTTGCTGACGATGGGCTTGCTGCGCGAGTTGCCATCCCTAGGAAGTGGGAAAGTGTGTAGCCACAGGCAGGCTGTATGCTCCTGCTCACTCACCCGCTACCCAGCTCATCTGCCACTCTCCAAAGACATCATCGCAAATCCTACAAAAAGGCATAAATGCTGTAGGACCCTCCTTCTTAGGTCCAGGATTTCCTTGACAGCTCCAAACAGGGCTGTCTCTGCTATTACCAGGGGAACACCGAGAAGGCACAGTGTCCCAGCACTGCCCAGAATGACGGCTGCGGGGTGGCTGTGCCCTTCACCGTGCCACAGTCAAATACTGCTTGTCCTTTGGTTGTCTGCGCCACTTTGTCCTCTAGGTCATGTTTAGGGTTGTGAACTAAAGATGTGAGTTTTCTAAAGGACTCTAGGATACCTACCATGTGGGTTTCCTCTGACTAGCCCTGACCCCACTCTTAATGTATTTAACTCGTCCCTCCCTGGCTGGCTGAGCTGTGAGCAACATCAGTGTTTGGAGATTGGCCCTCTGACATGCTGCCCTTAGCTCCGGACCTTAGTGTGAGGCCACAAAGTGCCTGGATAACAAGAAACTGTCCTCGCTGCTGTTTGTGCCCATTCTCTAGAAATAGTGGGTTTCACACACACACACACACACACACACACACACACACGTGCACCGCACATACAGTGTTTGTTTGAGCTAAGCTTTCTCTTTTTTAAAAAAAAAAAAAAAAAAAGAGGAGAGCATATATAAGGCCTCATCTCCCCCAGAGCTTGTGGTACCTAAAGTCAAAAGACAAAATGTGTCCTGTTGAATTTTTCAGTTAGGTCAGGCTGTACTCGAGGAGAAACACAATGTATGTGGAGTGGACCAAGATTAGAGGAGGACAAACACAAGACAGTTGGGCAAGAGGAGACACGTTTGGCCTTTCTGGAGAGTCTGCTGTACACTAAGCTTAGCTGCAGGCTCGTGTAGCCTGAGCACCAAGTGTACCTGGTGCTAAGCCAAGAGTTCCACGCATGTTCCACCCTGCAGTCCTTAAGGCAAGTGATGAGATTCCAGACGAGTAGATTAAGACAGGTTGTCCAGCCAAGGTAAGTGGCGAGGGCTGTCTGATTCTGTAGACTGTGTGGTTTCCAAGGCGTTATGCTGACGTCACACGGTAGCCCAAGAGTGGGGTGAGTCTGTGCCTCAGGAAAGAAACATGGACTACAGAGAGCTGTGAGTCCTGGGAGGTCTTAAACGGCCTGTGAAGACATTACCTAAATCCACTAATCGTGGTAGAGGTACCCAGAGGTGTGAGGCACACCTCCTCCCCTGGGCTACATGGTGGTCTCAGCAGCTCTCCTCATAAAATAAATCCACTAATCGTGGTAGAGGTACCCAGAGGTGTGAGGCACACCTCCTCCCCTGGGCTCCATGGTGGTCTCAGCAGCTCTCCTCCATCCTCCCGCTTGCTCACTGAGCGTCTTGGGGCTCTTTCCTCCCCGCCCTTCTCTTGTGGAGAAGCTGCCTCATGCTGTGCCCTGCTGTAGCAACTCAGCCTGAGCCTCTGCCCTTCTTCTGACCTTTTTTGTGCCCTTCCAAGCCTCGGGGTGTGAAGATTGTTCCCCTTGGATCTATCTCCCTCTGAATCTTGCCTCTTTCCCTGATCTCACCTCACATTATCAGTTTGCTTTTCCTTCTGGGACTCAGTCTGCAAAAAGCTGTCACCATATTGCTGGGACAATCTCGAGCTTTCTCCCCTGGATCCCTAAAGCCCCTCAGACAAGCTGTGACAACTTTTCTCCAACTTCAGCCCATTCCTGAGCTCTCAGGCAGTCCAAAGGAAGGCCGGCTCTCCTTACTGCCAAGGGGAGGAGCCTCTTTGTAACTCGCTCATCTTCCCTTCCAGACCACAGGTCTGAGCCGCTCCTTATCATTTCTCTCTTCTTTTACTTGTCTCACCTGTCAGTGTAGGGTGTTCTGTTACTGCAGCCCTGAGGTATACTGTGTTCTCCTCGCTGTACAGGCCTATCATGCTCTGAACCAGACAGGCCTCCTGCACCTTCGCGGGCATGGCTCCAGGCTCCAGCTGCTTCTGTGCGATTGCCCCTCTTGCCTCGGCTTCTCTGCGAAGCAGAGCTGCGGCGGGCCGTGTAATGTGAGAAGGGCCTCTTAGCCATGCTGAGTGGATGTAATAAGTTGCCAGCCTCCTGGGAGCTTGGATCACAGGAAGCAAGAGAGCAGACTGTCAACCCAGATTAACCATGTGGAGCTGACAGAACTAGCTCTTAGTGGGCCCATTAACTACATGACCCACAGCCCGGCCCAGAAGGTGAAAGCTGGGAACAGAGAGAGGCCAAGATTCTGTCTGAATGGCTTGGGCTACTTTCCTGTAGAAAATCTCTGCCGAGACTAAGCAGAAGTAGCCAGGAAAGAGGGCACTGAGGAACCCATCTCTGCCCATTCCACAACTACACTTTGCCCAGTGCTAGGCCCTGGTAATTATTTGACAAACAAGTCCATTCCTGTCCTCAGGGAACTTACAGCTGGCATCCTAAGCTACCTTCCAGCGGCCAACCTCCAAATAATAGCATCTTTCTGTCTACCAACCGGCAAGTTACTTGCTTAATGTCAAAGCAACAATCATCAGTAATGAAATTTATAAAGTACCCACAGAGATTTGAGAAACTGATTTACAATAAGTTGAAGCTGGGGAGAGATGCTCAGCCATTAAGAGTGCTTCCTGTTCTTCCAGAGGACCCAAATTCCATTCTCAGCTCTCACATTGGCAGCGCACAGCCACCATTAACTTTAGCTTTCAGGTGTCTGAAGCCCTCTTCTGGCCTCTGTGGGCACATACACTCACATGGCACACACAGAAAGAGAGAGATATTTAGAATGGTCTCGTTGCTGCCTTCCCCCAAACTTAAGAGTCATGAGGGAGAATGAAAAATATAGTGTTATCTAGATTCTAGCCATAAACACCCATGGGAGACAGGATACTGTACTACACATTGGTTACAGATAATTATCACAAGAAACAAAGACTTTCACCACCCTAGTATGCCAGGAAAGATTATCACAAAGATTGCCTACCTGTTTCTCAGGGGGAAAAAGAAGCATATACCAGCCATCTCTAGTTTCTCTTTACTCTGAAATCTCTTCTTGTCAAAACTGTTATAGTTGCCACCAACACCCTCCACCCTCCTGCTTTGCCAAAAGAAGCTGGTATTTAGCACGACGCGTACCATACATTAGGTCCAGCAGCTCCTTACTCAAGCCAAGCCCACTATACATACATGCATAGTCACCCATGCCTGTGGGCCTGCCAGGAACAGGACTAAGCCCACAATACATACATGCTTAGTCACCCATGCCTGTGGGCCTGCCAGGAACAGGGCCCAAAGTTCCAGCACCCTGCTTTGGGAGGTGTCTCCGGAAGCCTGGGAATGGCACCTGAAGCAGGAACGACTTTCCCCTTCACAGCTGGTCCATCACGGATGCTTATTTCAGAACACCGCTTCCCTCTCCCAACCTCTCTTCATAAGCTCTGGGGTTGCTTTTCCTCCAGGCAGATTGCATTCTTCTCGCCATTTCAGTCAGATAAGACCGTTTTCACATGGACCCTGCTTCTCACGAGGGTCGTCTTGTCTGTGTTCTCTGTTTCAGCATTGGTTGGAGTTTACAAAGTCAGTGGTGAAGCAATTGAGATGTGAGTATTCATAAAGAATCTAAGCTTTACCATGGGAGGATGGGCGGAAACCCCAGGGATAGTAAGACTCGGTCTACATATATAATTTGCCACTGTTCTAACATATAGTGACCCTATCCACAAAAGGGTCTTTTAGTTTAGCCTACATGAATGTATATATGTATGGATGGATTATGTCCATATTCTGTATGCATGTGCACCATATGTGTGCCTGATACCAGAAGAAGAAGGCCAGAAGAAGACATCAGGTCCTCTGGACCTGGAGTTACAGATGGTTGCAAACTAAGATGTGGGTGCGGGGAATTGAGCTTGGGTCCTCAGCCAGCACTCCCAATGCTGAACCTTCTGTCTAGCCCCCACAAAGGGATTATTTTCTTTATGGTTCAGGGGCCTATGCATGCCAGGAGGGGAGCACAGTTGTCTCCTTGAGAGGGTCTCTCCTAACAGGCGCCTTTTCCTGCAGCCCAGCCTCCCTTCACCATGTGCTTCCGGGTGAAGTTCTACCCTGCAGACCCTGCTGCTCTGAAGGAAGAGATAACCAGGTAAAGCTGGCACGCGGACCCCCGCCACTGTGGCCCGTGGGGGAGGGTGGGAACTGTGGCTTTGGACGTGCCTGAGTCTCTTTGGAGGATGCTTCCTAGAGAGAGCCTGTTTCTGTGTGTTCTTGCCTCCCACTTCCCTTGCGCCCCGCCTCTGGAGGTGGAGCAGCAGGAACTCCCTCTTGTGAGTCTCTAATCGCTCACTCTAGGAGGGATCTGAAGTAACTAATTGCTCAAGGCCTTCTTTCCCTTGCCTGTGATACGGCTCTGCTGATGGTTTTGGAGCTGGCTGTGTTGCTGCTTGATTTCAGGCTTGGAAAGAGACTCCAGTGGCCCAAAGGATATACGTGGGAAATACCAAGGTGGGGCACGGAAGGCAGGGTGGAAAATATTAAGACTCTAGATCCAAGCGAGTAGATCCTAGCATGCTGTTGGAGCAGATGCTTGAAGTTTTCTTCATTGTGGGAATCGTGTTCTGGGGCAGGTGTGCTGTGAGCCCTTGTCCCCTGGAGAAAGAGAAAAAGCCTCTAGCCCATAGCCACCCTGCAAGAGGGTCCGTGAATAGGATCGGCCCAGCTCCCCAGGGCTTTGTGCTTCTAAACCAGACTCATGACAAGGTTCAGAAGTTCTGTGCTGCTGGGGTTCTTTATTTTGTCATCAGCAGAAAGAATCCTGATATTCACCTGTGGCAGGTGGGACCATTGAGGAAGGAAATGGCACTGACACCTCTAATACCCTCCCCACTGCCTCAGAGAAAGCAAAGTCAGGAAAGAGGTGATCGCCATCATATAGCCCACTTGTCCCATACAGCCTCGAGATCTGTTCTGGATCCTGAACTGCTTTAAAATCCCAGAGAAACAATAGAAGAGGGAATGCAGAATCCTTTTCATTACTGTGGAAAAGCAAGCTGCTGACTTGATATCTGGTGAAAGGAATGGAGGGCTCTCTCCAAAGGGAAATCAGGAAAGGGAGAGAGGATGAGAAACAGGAAGTAGTGCAGAGAAAACAGGAAGTAGTATAGAGAAAACAAGGAAGGTGTCAGGGAGGTGAGCAAGTGGCTTCACGTGGAGCCCACTGTGGGTGGAGGAGAATCTTCTGGAGTCCAGACCAGAAAGGCCTCCTGCACGTGGGCAGAGCTGTGTGCCAGCTCTAAAGCACAGAGGACAGTGATGTGGGAGTGAGAACTGTGGGTTCCAGTCATCTTCACGAGAGAGAGTGACTGCCACCATCTTAGTGTGCAGCCTGAAGTTTCAGACAGGTCCACGGAGACAGGGCCGCTATGTTTACCAACTTGAGTTGACAAAGCACTCCTGTCTCTCATGACCTGAGCCCCCTTCTCCCTGCTGAGAGTGCTGCAGCAGCCCCTGTCCACTCATGTCCAGGTCAGACCAAACTTAACACTCTTTGTTTTGTTTTGTTTTTGTTTTTTTTTGGGTTTCTTTGTGTAGCCCTGATTGTCCTGGAACTCAATTTGTAGACCAGGCTGGCCTCGACATCACAGAGATCTGCCTGTCTCTGCCTCCTGAGTGCTGGGATTAAAGGTGTGTGCCACCACTACCCGGCCAAATTTAGCACTTTTGTTAAAAGCCAGCTCCTTGCCTCCCACCACCTCCTGCATTGCCTGATCTCCATGCCATTGGCTGCGCAGTAGGTGTAATGGTGCCCACTGCCCGCTGCCGCCACTCGGGGACCTGCAGCGTTTTACCATAGCAGTAGGGCTGAAAGGAATTGGTCTAGTAATTTGGTGACTGCCCTTAGACACAGGACTTTCTAACGCTTTTTCTTGGCTGTTAGGAGCTCATCGTCCAATTGTATTAACATACTGACCCCCTACCAAGAAGCCACATAGACCTGGTGGCTCAAGTCCAGTTTGTGTTCCTTCCTGACTGCAGGGCTTGGCCATACATTATTCACCCTCACTGACCTTTGGATAACTCACAGAATTAGGAGAGTAATATCTAATTCTGAAAATCATTGAGATGATTAACCAGTTTGCTGGCCTCCTTTTTGTTTGTTTTAATTAGTGTGTGTGTGCATTTGTGCGTGCATGTGCACACATGAGTGTATATACACGAGTATAATATATACAAGTGTATAGGTGAGTACATGCCTGCTCACATACAGAGACAAAAATAGGCCGCCAGATCTTTCAGTGCTAAAGTTACAAGCAGACTGGCTTGTAATATGGGTGCTGGGATCTAAATGCCAGTTTTCATGATTGTGTAACTTGTACTCTTAATCACTGAGTCATCTCTCCAACCCTCATTTTCTTCTTCTTCCTCCTCCTTTTTGTCATCATCATAGTCATCCTCCTCCTTATTCTTTGTTTAAAAAAACAAACAAACATTTCAGGCCAGGTGTGGTAGCTCATGCCCATAATCCCAGCAGTTGGGAGATGGAGGCAGAAGGCTACGTAGAAAAGATGAGGTCAGGGCCAAGGAGATAGTGCAGAGACTAAGAGCACACATTGCTCTGTAGAGACCTGCTTTTGGTTCCCATCAGCCACATTAGGTGGCTCACAACTGTCTGTAACTTCAGCTCCTGAGGATCTGACACCTCTGTTCTCCAAAGACACCTGAACACACATGTGCATGCATGCACACACATGCACACACACACACACACACACACACCACCTACAGAGAGAGAGAGAGAGAGAGAGAGAGAGAGAGAGAGAGAGAAATATTTAAAAAATCAATGTTTTTTTAAAAAGAAAATTTAGGGGCTGGAGAGATGGCCCAGTGATTAAGAGTCTTCCAGAGGTCCCAGGTTCAACTCCTAGCCCCCCACATAGTGGCTCACAACCATCTATAACTCTAGCTCCAGGAGATCTGATGCCCTGTCTGACCTCCTTGGGTATCAAGCACACATCTGGTACAAAGGCACACATACAGGCAAAACACATGTACACATAAAAACTTTTTAAATTAAAAAAAGAAAGTAAGAATTTAAGGCCAATCAGGCTTATTTAAGACTGTGTCTTAAATGTGGACCCAGAGGAAGTTGGAAGGATGTAGTCATGGGTGAATATGGTAAATATATATTGTATATTGTGTGGAACTATTTAAACTTTTTACTTTCAAAAAGACCCTGGCTCACAGAACCAAATAATTAGACATATAAATAAAATAAACATTTATTATCACAGATACTTTGGATAACAAATACAGACAAGGCTCGGTTTGGACTTAGGTTCTTTTGAGAATGTCACTATGGAGCCTAAACTGGCCTTGAACTCACAATTCCCTATGTCCACTTCTCTAGTGCTGAGATTACAGCCTGTCACCATGCCCAATGGAGGGTCTTCTATTTCCCGGTACGCTTCCGGTCCCCTGGAAGCCTTGCACAGAGCGAAGGCTCAGTGTGTCCCTACTGATTACATGGTCCATGTCAACGTAGCACTGGGATCCTGACCAAACCTCTCACCAGGTCAGCAGACTTCAAGGACAGTGGCAAGGGCAACCAGCACCTCTGCCATCTGCATGCGTCCTCAGGAACCACCTGAGACAGTTTCCTCTCCATCTTTACCTCGCCGGCCTTCCTTCCCCAGAGTGCAGTTTTCTCACATTGTGGGTAGTACCAACTGTGGGGTGCCCAGCCTGATTTGCAGGTTTCTACCCTCCCTGGTACAGCCTGTGAAGCCATGGAATTAGGTCCGTGTTTCCCATTCACATCCCTACTGATCTTGAGAGAGTGGGTACCTGCCCCAGCCTCACTCAGTACTCATAATTCATTGCTGGCTCTGAGCCCTTCATCTCAACAGCCCACCTTGTGCCAAACTAATTTAGCTGTCAATGTGTCATCTTTTTTCCCCTGGCAATCTCGATCCTAAATTTCACTGCCATCTCAACCATCGCTGTGGAGCAAGGCTAAGGAGGGGATGAGCTGGAGAGTAAAGAACTCTTCTTTGAGGGCTGGAGAGAAGGCTCCATCAGTTGAGAGCACTGACTGCTCTTCCAGAGGACCCGGGTTCAATTCCCAGCACCCACAGTGAGAACTCCAGTCCTAGAGGATCCAACACCCTCCTCTGAGGACACTGCACATTCATGGTACACAGTGACATAGGCAGGCAAAACATCCACACACATAAAAATAAATCAATACTAAAAAAGAAACTGAGCATCGGGTTTTTTTTAAAAAGGGAATTCTGCTTCACTTTGCCATTGGTCCTTCTCACAGGACAAATTTAGTTTCCAAGTCCTCATTAATTTCCTTTGTCATTTTTCTCTTTAAATAATAAATGACTTATTTTTTTGTCTAGACTGTTAATGGTGCCAAGAAATGGAGAGCTAGACCCCATTTAGCTGTTACCAGGGACTGCAGGTGGATGCACTCTGAGAAATGGAGCGTCAGAAGGAAACGGGCACATCCACACCTTACCAGGAGGCAGAGGCCTGGCACACGCCAGCGGGTGGAGGAGTCCAGAAGGGTGGGTGGGTGGATGTGGGCTTCAGCACACAGAGGCCCAGTCATTTATTCTCTCGGTGAATGGTCTCCGAGCCTCCATTAGGCTGACATGGATTGGCAAGGCTCTCTGGAAAGGGACAGAAAGTACGTGTGTTGGGCTTTCGGAACCATATGGTCTCAGTCACAACGGCTCGGTTCTGTCAGTGCCGCTCGGAAGCAGCCATCGATGATGCATGAATGAGTGAGCAAGGCCATGTTCCAGCAAAACCTGATTCCCTTAGAAAGCACGGCCGTGGGTCCTCCTTGGCTAGGGTATCGGGAAGATATGGATCAAATCTTGGCTGATTTTTTAGCTCTGAGACAAGGCTAGCGGCTGTACCTCTCAGCACTCAGTTTCCTCGTATGTGGAAATGGAACAGAAATGGGAATTACTACTCGTGGAGTTACTGGAGACGTGACTGAGGAAGTGCGTGTGCAACAGTAGTGTGCAGGGCACGCTGTGTGGGCAGACATGGAGAGTTGCTACCGTTAGTGTTTTGTTCCACATAGTCCCCCATCTCCTTTGTATATAACTGTGAGAGGACTTAACTGCCTTCCGTGTCCTCTGCCCTCAGGTGTTTTCTATAGTACCTGTGAGGTTCCTGGCCTTGTGAAGGACAGAAGGAGATAAACAAAGCTTTAAAAAAAAAAGAAAGAAAGAAAGAAAAAAACCACAGGCCAGTGAGATGGCTCAGTGGGTAAATGTGCTTGCCGAGCAACCCCAGTGACCCAAGATTCCTGAGGTCTGAAACCCCAGGCTCAGCACTGCTAACATGAGAGGGGGAGGACTGGATGGAAGCTTACCTGAGAGCACAGCAGTAGGGATGGAAGCTTAGCTCACCTGAGCAGCACAGCAGCAGCAGGAGAGCCCTGCCTCAGAAACAAGGTGGAGGCAGTCACGCGGTCCAGCAGGCAAAGGCACTTGCTGACAAACCCGCAGTACTGAGTTCCGTTCCTGGCACCACAGAGTAGGAGAGAACCAACTCGTACAAGCTGCCCTCTGACCCCAACACACACACACACAGAAAATATACACACACACACAGAAATAAAATATAAAATCTTTTACAAATTAGTGTGTATATCCAGGCTGTGGTGGTGCACACCTTTAATCCCAGCATTCAAGAAACAGAAGCAGGTAGATCTCTATGAGTTCGAGGTCAACCTGGTCTACAAAGTGAGATCCAGGACAGCCAAAGCTACCCAGAGAAATCCTGTCTCAAAAAAAAAAAAAAAATAGTGTGTGTAATGCCCCCAGAAACCAGAAGTGACCAGAAGTGGGCATGGAATCCTCTGGAACTGAAATGCCAGTCAGTAATAAGCAGCCTTGTGGAAACTGAACTCAGGTTCTCTGAAAGAGCAGCAAGCTTTCTTAACTACTGAGCCATCTCTCCAGCCCGTGTATCTAATATATATAATAAAAAATTTGTGTGTGTGTGTGTGTGTGTGTGTGTGTGTGTGTGTGTGTGTGTGTAATTTAGGGCAATTCTCTCTCCTCTGATAGCTAAATGAATTACCACAGGGTAGAAAAGTACTGGGTCCGGAATCAGAGGCCTGAATTGTGACTAGTGGGTAACACTAACCAAGTCAGGTCACATCTCTGGATATCTGTCTCCTCAGCCATAAGTCAAGGGAATTCTGTTCCTTAACTCTGGTTCTGAGAAGCAATGGCACCTGGCTGTGCTGGGCAGGCCTGGCAGGCTGATCCTTCATCTGACAACACACAGAGCTTCACACAACAAGATTCCCCGCAGGGGCCTTGTGGGTGAGAGCACAGCAGAGTCTCGTAGGAGCAGGTCTAATGACACTAGGACTGTGGGATACAGTTCCAGCACCATGTCAACCCAAAACCTTCTGGACACCACCGTGGCGGAAAATCAAGGGGGACCTCGTGAAGACGTCAGAGGGCCCTTCAGTGAGCTCATTTCCTCCTGCTCTCCAATGACATGCCTTCTTTAGGTTATAACTTGCCCATCCTTGCCTCCCTCCGTGCCACGGCAGTCCTTGAGAGTGTCGATAGCCTTCCCCTCGCGCTGCCCACAGCTGTCCTATAATCAGGAGTCCAAAGGACTCCCAGCCTCAGAGAACTGTGCACATTCCAGCTCGCCCTAGACATCTGCCGCAGGCCCATCCGTAGCAAAGCAGCGGTCCTGTATGAGAGGAAGGCTGGCACTCGGCATACAGCAGGAGTCAGAAACTCTAGAGAAACCCCAGGAGTACCTCTGACATGCCTTCCTGGGGACAGGGGTTGTTCCTCTGTCTGTGACATAGAGAATCACCATCCAGATCTGTGGGTGCTGTTTGACACATCGCCTTCCATCCAGGATATCCTGTCCCAGATTTTCAGTCGTGGAAGAGCAGGCCATGAAAGCAGGAATGATATGTGAATCTGAGCCCAGGAAGTGAGCAATGAGTTGGGGGCAAAGGCCATATCCGCATCCTGCCAAAACCTGGGGAAGGTGGGAGTCGGAACAGTGAGAGGCAGGGAAGTGCTGGCTCGCCTCTCCCACTCACCGTGTGGCATTTCACTGTGGGAAGCAGAGTGCACGCAAGCTGGATTTGATAGATCCATCGTAATTATTCACTCTGCATGGCGCCAGCTTTTCTTGACAAATGTTAGGGCTGAGTGGGTTTGTTTGAGGAGGGGAATGGCTCTTACAAACTCCCAGGAGGAAATCCTCACGTGGCCTTTGGTTTGTGGGAGGTACCGCGTATTGATGTGGTCACGGAGATTCTTTTGTATTTCGTAGGACTCTGCCTCCTATATGCAAGTCATATGAGGATCTTGATAGAAAAAAAAAAGGTGCAGGCTCCAAATGATGCCAATATTGCTGATGTGGGGGCTGTGCTTGGAGTAGCAAGACCCAAGGAGGGGCTAGATTGCTCCTTGACTGATTCTCCATTCTTTAAGCCCAGCACTCACTCCTACTTCCTCCAAAAGTTGCCCTGTCGATGGCGCGCTCTCTCTGTGGGCATTTTTACATGATTAACTGGACATGTAATTTAGACTGAATATAAACCAGAGGAAACTGGTTATCCAAGGAGGCCCTAAATTCTGCCGGTGGAAATTGGTGGAACGGAAGGGCCTTCTGCTATAGTTCCATGACTCCTTGCTCTCCCAGGGATGCCATAGTCATGTGTGGCTGCCCAACAAAGTACCATCAACCTTAGCTTAAAGTAACAAGCCATTCTTTTCCCCTCACCCACCATTCCACTCGAAGACCCAGGTAGGCCCTATTTCCGCATCCCTGATAGCACAGTGTTTCCTGATTGTATCACACTGGCAGGGGGCTGGTTCCCTCCAGATGCCAGCACTTTGGTGGCAGGGGAGAGGGGCGACAAGGATGGAGGGATAAGGATGGGGAGGAGTTAGGGGGAAGTGCTTACCAGGGAGTGATATGTCTATGTTGAGCTAGAGAGAAAACGGACAGGTTGTTTTGATCTGAACCTTAAACAATTAATAGTTCAAAGCGGAGTACCTGAGAGTCTGCAAGGAAAAGGGAAATGTATTTGTTCTACGGTATAAAAAAAAAAAACTGATGTAGGGAAGATGCCCTGACGAAGATTCTGATAGGCTTTTATTACATATTTTTGCCTTTAAAGCAATCAGAGCAATCCTTTCGGTTTCATCTCTGTTTTCTCCGCAGGTACTTAGTCTTCCTGCAGATCAAAAGGGATCTCTACCATGGCCGTCTCCTCTGTAAGACATCGGATGCCGCCTTGTTAGCAGCCTATATCCTTCAAGGTAATGGCTTTGGACAGGATAAATTTGCTTTTCACGCTAAGTCCTGATTACATTATCCCATTTACCACAGATGACGACTTCTTAGATCAAAACAGCTTCTAACTTGAAGCAAGTTAAAGGATTTGGCCTGGGTTGTCTAGAGCCAAAAAGCCCAGAGACCCTCTGCCCCCCAAGGTGTCACAGCTAGCCCCCTGGAGTCATTTCGGCCTCCAGAGACTTACCCTGTTCCTTTCACGTTAGTGTTTCTGTGCGGCTGAAGAACACTCAGAATGGCTCGCCCTGGCCCTCTCGTGCAAATCGCCAAGGTGTGAGGCATGGTAGGCCTCTGGCATCTGCTGTGTAGACCTCTCCGCCGAGAGGGCTCAGTGTCTCAAGGGTTCTCAAGTGAGAAGCCATTTCCTTCGGAAGAGTCGAGCCTCTTGCTGCCGATTCCCAGAGTGGCCGTGGGAACCTGTTGTGAAATGTGGGACCTGTCATACCCTTCTCTCATAAGATGTTGAGGACATTCAAGTGCCACTCCTCGGAATTTTCTTAGTCCTCCACCCTGAAATTGTCATTAACAACGGGATCATTTGGGCCTAAAACCGTGACGCTTCCATTAAAAATGTGAACCCTTGATTGTGAATCAGGGAACTCTCAGAAGCAACTTGAGGAGAGTCTGCTGAGAGCAGAAGTATTGGAGCAGTGCTAAGAGAGCAGAGTGAGCCCATTGGGGGGGCGGGGAGCCTCCGGCTCTGAGAGAGCCATTCCAGTACCAGCCAATGGGAAGCGCAGCCTTTGCGTGTACGGCCTAAGGTACCTAAAGAGTCCCCCTTCTTTTTGAAAGAGGAAGATGCCCTGTACTGTTAAACTCTAGTCTTTTCATCAGGTCCACCCTGATAATTATATCAAATTATTTTTTTTTCAAAATGTATTGGTAGCCAATATCAGTATTTTCCCTCCTTGAAGCTTTTCAGATAAAATCAAAGCAAAGATCTCAAGGTTCAAGGTCCCTCATCCTTGAAGGAATGAGATCTCTCGATAAACAACAGAAATTGCCACAGAATTTGAAGTTTGGTTAGGTTTTTGTTTATTTGTTTGTTTTGTTTTGGACATATGGTTTTATTACGCTGTCCAGGCTGGTCTTGAATTCTTGGGCTCAGGTGAGCCTCCTGCCTTAGATTCCCCGGGACTTGAGGCTCCAGACATCCACCACTCCCGCCCTCAGCCCCGAGTAACTTGGAAGGAGCCACAATTGGCAGTGGAATGCACAAACCCAGAGTGGTGTGTTCAGCTGCGACCCAGGCCTTGTTTTCCTCCCAATATTCATGCCACCTCAGCTGAAGAGCTTCTGGCGCTCTAAGAGAAGGAAGGGGGGACGGCCAGCAAGCTGCCAGGAGCTCCTCTTTTCTTTTCTGAGTTTCCCTTCGGGTGGGGCACTGTATGTGGAGGAAGCTGACTTCTGACTGGGAGAGCATTGAGGAAAGATGGTGTCCATAGAGCTCCCAGAGATCCCACAGCCGTAGAGACGAGCTTTGTAGGCGTGGCACTGGGCACAGCATTGGAAAGTCAGCCTTAGAATCTGGTGCCCCTGCACTCGGTCGCTGGGTCATAGCCATGTTCCCAGTGGCAAGCCCACCTGGCGAGCCCGCCCTGAACACTGAATGTATTCATCTGGTTCCGCGTGTGAGGGCTGAGTCCTTAACTAGGATCAAGACTCAGTCAGCAACTTCTCTTGTCCTACTAAAATCTTCGGGATGGGATTCAGGTACCCAACCTGGGGCACAGGAGGTCCTGTCTTTCTGACCAAGCTCACTGTTTGCTGCTACCAAGCCGAGCATGGCTCCCAAGCCTTCCCGTGTGGCTGCACCACTGAGGATCATAGAACAGGCTTCTGCTCTTTTATTGCAAATTTACTAGTGACCTCAGAGCCCAGGGCCAGCTCTACTGTCTCTGCTTTGACTTGAATGTCAACCTGTTGTACACAGCAGGGGGAAAAAGACCCACATCTGCTCCTTGGGGGCCTGCTCTCTTGCCAGTGTCTGCCTGTGTTTGGCCTCTGAGCTGTGTGTTAATCTCTTTTTTTTTCTTTTTCCTGCCTTTGAAAAGCGGAGATTGGGGATTACGACCCAGGAAAGCACCCTGAGGGCTACAGCTCCAAGTTCCAGTTTTTCCCAAAGCATTCAGAGAAACTGGAAAAGAAAATTGCTGAGATTCACAAAACTGAACTCAGGTGCGTTACACTCCCTTGGGACCCTGGCCACTGAGCACACAGCTCCTGGCCCCATCCTCTGCTCTCAGAGACTTGCTCAGACACAGTAAAGCTCCAAGCACTGGTGACCCTGGGATGTCCCATTTCCCTGGACCCCCCCGATGGCACAGCCTCCTCCCAGTGAGCAGTGTATGACCATAGCATTCTGAATGAGCCTATCCCGCCTGATCTCAGAGGCTGGGCAGCTGTGCTGAATGGAAGATAAACTGCACAGGGCCAAGCTGACTTACATGCAGTACTATGGTTTAGAGTCAGTAGCATCAACACGCTTTGAGGCCCCTGCACCAGGGATGCAATAGCCAATGCCCACAGAGCCCCGCAATCTCAGCTGGGTTTAGCCGACCCAGATTACACAGAACCATAAACAGCACAGATGCAGCCTTTCACCCACGCTCAATGGCCTTTTCTGCAGAGAGGTTTTAAAGCGCAGTGGCAGAGTGGGCTCTACTTCGCGTATCAACACGAGAACACAGGTTTCCCGGGCAGATAAGGTGCCTGAAACAAAGGTCTGTGTGCTATAAACTAACAAGAAGCTGGGTCACCATTTTAATAGGTTACAATTCCTCCTAACTTTTAGGACTTTGGATTTATTAAGACAATTAAGCAATAATTCAAAAAAATGTATTAACCAACATAGAAAAGAGATGAAATTTAAACTACATTTAAAATGAAGACTTTTGTTTATTTTTAATTTTATTTATTTTGAGTATACTAGTTAGACAAAACTCTGGGTTTCCTTGTGGGTTTTGTTCATTTTTTTAAGGTACTTTAAAAAGAAGCAAGACGAGGAAAGCCACAATGATAGTGACAGCTTGAATCATTCGTGGAAGAGTATTGTGGGGATGATAAACCCATACTCTCTGTGTCTGCAAGAGAATTGAAAATTGGGCAGTGGATAAGAATGGGAATATATTCGTTACAAATATTTAATCTTGTGATAAGGTCCATGCATTTCCTGCTCTGAGGAAGGACTGGAGCAGGAGTGGGGTGCTTCTAAGAGCTCTGAACTTAAACCAGAGTCTACCACACCATGATCTTGCCCCCAAAACCCTCATCTCACTAAATGCTTATGAATGAACATAACCCAAAGCTGCCCCAGCGTTTGCAGACAGATCGTCAGAGTCCGGTGTGACCAGACAGACTCATCAGGGTTGCAATCTTGGGTTTTTCCAGTCTCAGTGCTGAGCCCAATGGTCGGTCCTGTCACTGTTAGGGAAATGGTGACCCCTTGTGGTTAAACATCGGGATGACAGACCTGCTTGTGAGCTCCCATTCAGAGAGCACGGATTTATGCCTGCTGTCCAGAGGGTAAGATATCAAAGTGGTGGGGACATTTCTGCAGAAAGTTAGTTCAAGGCAAGGGACTCCTCAAGAAATGGTGGCACCTGTTAGGACCCTGGAGATATGAGCAACCCCGAGGTTAATGGATTTCAAGGGGTGGATTCCTTCAGACATGGAATGAAGACACTCCTTGCATCTGGGGTTTGTTGGTAGATGTAGGGGTCTGCCTTCACCCCGATACCTGCAGACACGGGTTCTGCCATGCTTTCATAGTGTGAAAATGCCCGAGTTTTCTCCCTCTCTGCGACTTTGACAGCTCCTGTGGGCCCAGGCTGTGGGCTGTTTCTTGATCTACTTTCCAGAAGTAGTACAAAGGCTGACTTCAGAGCATGAGAGACAGTGGCCCCTTCAGGGGACACCGGAGGGAGCCTGGCCTGCTTCTCGCTTGGGTGGGCTTGCTTCCTGCTCTGACGTATGACTTTGGGCAGACGATAAATTTAGTAATGAGCAACTTTGGCTCCTGCCCGCCAGCCGTCAGAGCTGACGGCTTCACAAGCTGCCCTTACAACCTCACACTCGGTGTGCTTTTCCAGGGCTCTGCAGGCAGAAGAGCCCAGAGCCAGTGCCACCGCTGGCCCCAGGGTGGTTTCGTGTACACGTTCCAGGAGGCAGGCGGGAAGAGAGCTGTGCCAAGGCCTCTTCAGATGGCCAGAGCCGGCGTGTTTCCTTTTGTACTATCACATGGAGAGCTGTGTGGTATGGAAGCCAGGCGGCGTCTCCTGCCACAGCTGTTCTCAACCTGGGGATCACGACCCCTATGGGGGTCAAACAACTCTTTCACATAGGTCGCTTAATAGAGATTTATATTATAATTCATAACAGTAGCAAAAGTACAGTTATGAAGTAGCCATGAAAATAATTTTATGGTTGGGGGTCAGCATAGCATGAGGAACTGTGTTAGAGGGTTACAGGGATAGGAAGGTTGAGAACCGCTGTCCTGCTTCTCCCAGCCCTCTGTTCCTGTGCTCTCTTTCCACCAAGAGAAAGGGAGTGGTACCAGCAGGATTGTATGCCAGTCCATGTCAGCTCACAGACAAGAAAGCTGTGGCCAGTAGCCAGCCTACAGATGTATTTTCCCTGTCTCCGCAGTACTGCGTGTTGTGAATTACCATAAAAACATTATCTCTGACTTATTTAAAACCACAGCCTCAGCTGGGTATGGTCTGCACACCTTTAATCCCAGCACTTGGGAGGCAGAGGCAGGCGGATCTCTGTGAGTTCGAGGCCAGCCAGAGACATTATAAGACCCTGTCTTAAAAAAAAAATTATTTATAATATCCGGCCAGTGAGATAGTCCAGCACTTGCTGCCAAGCCTGCCATCCTGAGTTCCATCCCCAAAACACACACGGTGGAGGGAGAGAACCAGTTCTGGCACATCGTCCTCTGAGCTCACACACACAATTGAGACGACAAACTGAACTCATAGCCGCTAGCACTGCTTGTCCTGCGTTTGCTTTTGGGGTTTTGGTGATGATGGTTGCTTGCTTATTTGTTTTGATTTGGTTTTGGGGTTTTTTGTTGTTGTTGTTTTTGTTGTTGTTGTTGTTTTAGCAGGAGCACATATAGTCTAGGCTAGCCTTAAATTTTTCTATGCACTTAAGGCTGGCCTTAAACTCCTGACCCCACTTCCTCTACCTCCAAGTGCTGAGGTTACAGATACCACACACCACCATGTCTGGCTTCGCATGGTTTTCAGGAAGACCGCAATCTCAGAGCCATTCCTACCGCTTCCTGCTCTTCACGCTGAGCCTGCTTGACCCCCTATGTAGCCTGCTGCACTTTGAGTTTTGTTTTGCTTTTTTAATTTTTTATTTTTATTTGGCATATGGATGTTCTGTCTATGCACCGTGTGTGTGCAGGGCACTCTTGAGGCCAGAGGAGAGCATTAGATCCCCGGGGACTGGAGTTCTTGAAGGTTGTGAGCCGCCATGTGAGTACTGGGGATCAAGCCCAGGTCCTCTGGAATAGCAACCAGTGCTCCCACCCACTGAGTCATCACTCCAGCCCCCCGCTGAGTTTTAACCTTAGACTTGAATCTCTAAAGTTGGTTCTACAAGCAAGCAAGAGAGCACTATGGAAAAGTGGAAGTGTGTGGCCCCTGATCACATCTTTTTTTTTAAAGCCTCTTCCCCGTGAGAGTAGCAAATTCATCCCCCATCCAGGCTGAGGCTTGAAGAGATGGCAAAGCCTCCCTCAAGGTCCAAGTGAAAATATTGACAGTGTGCGCAGAAAATGTCCACATAGCCTTCTTCCCCTAGACGTTAACAGCCTGAAGATGGCTCTCCTACAGAGATTGCTCCTGGCAAGATAGGCTAAACCTGATTCCTCGATTCAGCTGTATGTGACCGTTCAACTGCATAGAATAAATGATGTGAGATTTCCCTCTGTATGCCGTGATGACCATTAATGAATAAAGAAACTGCTTTGGACCTATAGCAGGGCAGAACTTAGCTAGGCGGGGGAAAGCTAAACTGAATGCTGGGTGGAAGAGGGCAGAGTCAGGGAGAAGCCAGGTAGCCCCACTGGAGATAGAAGCTGGAACTTTTCCCAGTAAGCCACAGCCTCGTGGCAATACACAGATTAATAGAAATGGGTTAAGTTAAGATCTAATTAGCCAATAAGAAGCTAGAGCTAATAATGGACCAAGCAGTGATTTAATTAATACAGTTTCTGTGTGATTATTTCGGGGCTAAGTGGCCAGGAACCAACAAGAAGCCTTCTTACTACAAATAAACACTGAGCTTCTTGGGTACTGCGGCTGCTCCACCAGAAAGTCGGGCCCTGCCCAGCTGGCCACTTCCAAACAAGGAGCTCACACCTGGGGAACTTGTATAACAGGAGCCCTGAGACCATCTCCTTCTCATTCCAGTGGTCAAACACCAGCAACATCAGAGCTGAATTTCTTGAGAAAGGCACAGACATTAGAGACCTACGGAGTGGACCCTCACCCATGTAAGGTAAGACTCCCCCAAGAGGGACTTCACCAGCTGTGCCTCCCCTACCAAGGCGTGGGGTGCTTGTATCCACAGCCCTTGGGTGTACGGGAGTGCCTCTGCCATGCCATGTCGAGACACACACACACACCCAGATCCGTCACTGCCACATCACTGTTAGAGGAGCCCAGGCAAAGGTAATCTAAATAGCAAAGCCAAACCCAGTGCCCTGCTTTGGCAGCTGTGGGTAATTTGGTGGAAATGAATCAAGAGGGCATGTGGAGAGCTCCCCACAGGGAACAATCGGCAGTCACTCAGCAACTGCCCGCCCTTTACTGACCCATAATCTAGTTTCTTCCCAAGAGTGGGTTCTATTGACTAGAGTGGCGTGAGTCACCACGTGGGACTGCAGTGGATTCGCATCTGATTCCATTATGCACCAGGGAGGGTGAAGCTGGACCGCACCAGGGATGCTGTGCCTGGAAACCCCTGTAATTGCCACACGCTCCTGGCGTTTCAGAGATGAGTTTGGTGAGCTCACCCTGCAAGCAGCGAGACCCACAGCACGTCCTGGCTCTGGCCACTTCCTCCCACTACAGCTCACGCTCCTGTTGCTTTGCCATGCTGGTCAGCCACTGCCTCTGTTCTGCCTCATTTATGTCCTGTTTCTGTTACTGGAGGGGCTGTAGTATCAGCAGCTCTAAAAGTGAGAGCAGAACAAGATGGGCATCTTCTCCCTCGCAGATGAAGGGGCACTGTAACCGAAAAGTTGATGTGTCCCTTTCCTGGGGCTGCAGCGTGGCTTCCACCATGCCAGCGCGTTGCCTTTGTGCTGGAGCCTGGAAGTGTGACCCCATGGTGCTGATAGGGCTGGTTCCTTCTGAGGTCCCTAAGAGAAGGATCTGCTCCAACCCGTCTCAACTTGATGATGGCAATCCTCCTTTACCTTGGGTCTGCCCATTATCTCCCCTCTGCTGTTGTAATTTAAAAAAAAAAAATGGCATGAGAAAGACGCAATTTGACAGAGTTCATGTGGAGGGGGGGACCAGCCTCTGGGGACAGGAGCTTCAGAAAAGGAGAGGCAGAGAGAAAAGGGGAAGAGACAGAGATACAAGCAGAAAAGTAGAGAGAAAGAAAGGGACAGACAGAGACAGAAAGAGAGAGAAGGGGAAGGGGGAGGGAGGGAGAAAGGGAGGGGGAGAGGGAGAGGGAAGGAGGGAGGGAGAGAGATGGGAGGTAGGCAGGGCCCTTTTAAAAGTGAACTTAGCGAATGTGCACAGGAGGTGCTCTTAGTGGCTACAGCTGAGAACACATCCTGTCAGGACCCCAAGGGCAGGCCAGTTCAGATGCCTGAATACTAAATGTCCTTGTGTAAGGACACCAGTTAAACTGAGTTGTGCTCAATCTCAAAGCCTCGGCTGAATTTTAATTTCTATAAAGACCTTATCTCTAAAGATGGTCACATTCCCAGCGCTTGGAGCTAGGACTTCAACATCTGGATTTGTAGGAACTGATGCAATCCAGTGTATAACAAACAATGAAAACGAAAGGCACAGGGGTGAGGCTCTGGTGAGGTGATTTTATTTTGCCTATGAAGTAATAAAAGCCTGGAGGACATTCTGGAATGCAAGCCTCCTCCCCCACCTAATTCCCTGTCCCTTGTGCAGCTTACTGCCATACAGGGCCAGGAGTCAGGGGGCACATCCACACACTTCTACAGACTTTATAGGTGATATAAGAATTAGCACGGCTAGGGGGCTGGAGAGATGGCTCAGAGGTTAAGAGCATTGCCTCCTCTTCCAAAGGTCCTGAGTTCAATTCCCAGCGACCACATGGTGGCTCACAACCATCTGTGATGGGATCTGGTGCCCTCTTCTGGCCTGCAGGCATACACACAGACAGAACATTGTACACATAATAAATAAATATTAAAAAATAAAGAATTAGCACGGCTTCCTAAATGTGACCTGTGAGAACAAAAGTAGTTGAGGTTGCTCATGATGGCACACACTGGTAGGACATGCTGAAGAGGCAGAGACAGAGGCCAGCCTGGGCTACACGTTTAGCCTGTGGCTCACACCTTTAATCCCAGTACTTAGGAGGAAGAAGCAGGTGGATCTTGGTGAGTCTGTCAAGACTACACGGTGACATCATCTCTGGAAAAAAAAATCATTTAGCCATTCTATCAATGGATTAGGCACCCGAGCAGGCAGCAGGGGACCTCATAGGAGAGAAGTGTTTGGGGGGGGGGGGGCATCTGGCTCTAAGCTCCAGTCCTCATCAGCTGTTGGGGCCTTGCTGGGTTCTGACCTCCACTCTTCGCATCCGTGAGTAAGAAAGCAAGGGGTGTGCAGGAACTTGTCCTTGAGCTGGTAGGTCATCCTAAGACCTCGGAAACAAACACAGCTGTTGCAGAACTGCAGTCTTCCCTGTGCACAAAAAAAGGCTCTGAAGTTCACACACAGGGTGAGGGGGACATGCACACACACACACACACACACACACACACACACACACAGACCTAAAGGCAGGCGTGGTCATTAGAAGGTGCCAGATCACCTCAGTGTTAGAGTCCAGTCCCCTTGAGGCCTCACGTGAGACTGGCTGAGGTAGGATTCACAGCACTCACAGTAGGCAGGCACTGCCCTGAGCATGACAGCTGACAGAAGGTGGGTAGGAGTTCTGTTATTGTCCACAGAAGCCATGGTCTGGCAGCCATGGACAGTGACAGCCAGACTGGTGTCCAAACTAAATTCATGTGCACTTCAGGACCATGAACTCCTGACTCAGCCTTGGCTTGGACAAGTTTGTCCATCATGGGCACCCGGAGTCTGAAGAGGCTACAAGAAGGAGCCAGCCTCTGTCCTCTGCGTGTGGCCCAATCCCGTATGTCATATTCTCAACTGAGGGAGGAGAGAATAAGCATAGCCCACTTCCATTTAGAGCTAGTGAGTTCTTTCATGGTAGTTTTCACCGACTCTTCAGTAGGTGGGTGCTAATCTCCCTGTTTTAAAGATAAGAAAGTTGATACAGGGACTGGAGAGATGGCTCAGTGGTTAAGGGCATTGACTGCTCTTAACAGAGGACCTAGGTTCAGTTCCCAGCACCCACATGACAGCTAACAATTGTCTGTAATACCAAGATCTGAAACCCTCACACATACATATGTGCAGGCTAAACACCAATGCAAATAAAATAAAAATAAATAAGTTATTTTTTAAGAACAGAAAAGAAAGTTGATGCAGCCAGGTGGTGGCAGCACGAGCCTTTAATCCCAGCACTTGGGAGGCAGAGGCAGGTGGATCTCTGTGAGTTGAAGGACAGCCTGGTCTACAGAGTGAGTTCTAGGACAGCCATAGCTATTACACAGAAAAATTCTGACTCAAAAAAAAAAAAAAGAAAAAGAAAGAAAGAAAAGAAAAGAAAGAAAGTTGGTGTACTAGAAATCCAAAGTCCACAAGGCCCTGAGAGGCAGAGCAAAAATTTGAACTCAGTTCATTTCCAACATTGTGTAGCCATATAGGAGTGATGCCTGAGAGTCTTACTCTGGAGAAAGGGGAAAGGCAGCTACCTAGCTGGAATTTTTTCCCACATTCCCAGACCTGGGCCTCCTGCTCATCCGGGTCAAGTCAGGGCCCCACTGTGGACTCCACGCATGACCTTTGGATCCTTTTATCAGGCCTGGCCATGTTTCCTCGGTCCTCCGAGGCAGAGAGCAATTCAGAGTCTTCACTCTTACCGTTAAGTAGCCTCGCTTGAGTGATGTGCTCCCAAGCACTCCCCTTAATGTTGCTGCAAGGAGAGCTGGAAGAAGCTGGCACGCTCAGTGTAATAAATACTGATGATTTCTATTAACAGGGAGGCAATTACTGGGCCCAGGGAATCTGGGGCATGCAGCCCCGGGGAGGACAGAAGAGGAATCGTTTTGATAATTAAATGAGGGCAGAATGTGCTGGCTGGGCTCTGTTCTCCTGGACTGATTAAGAAGCTAGCATTGGTCCTATGCGTGCTGATGGTTTCCGTCTGCCGGAGTGTCCTTGTTTGGTCCTAGGACCAGAAGGAGGGACTCCTACAGACCCTGGCTGGGGAGCCAGAACAGCCAAGTCTCAACCTTGTACAGGGCCATCCTCAACTGCGCCACAACCCACACCCCCCAGGTCCTGGCAGGAGCCCCAGAAGCCCAAGACTACAGCTGCTGGAAAAGAGAGTAGGACCTGTTACTATATCTGTTCCCTGATTCCTTTCCAAACTTGGGAGTTACCATCTTGTTCCGTTCAGTCTAGCCTTGAGGCTGGTTGTTTGCCCTGGGACTTTCAAAGCCAGTACTGTGGGTTCTGATGGGGCTGCCTTGCTAAGGCCTTAGGGGGTTGGAGTAAGGGGAGTAGCTCCATCATGGATGTCCAACCTTTTTAGACCTGGTGGTGCCACTTCTTGAGAGTCCATATGTGTCAGGCACTCATCACATAGACTCTGTTAATCTTCATTGTGCCTCTGCCAGGAGTCTCTCTTCACCCTCATATTGCCATGAAAACACCAAACTTCTGAGTGCAGATTTAAAAAAGGTAAGAGGAGTTAGGAGGTGCCAGGGAGGTTCTTACTAATGTGTCAGAAGTTCCGGGTGAGGACAGCACTGAGACTGGGAGCCAGTGTTGCCTGGTCTCAGGGTTTGCCTGAACCAGTGTTGCCTGGTCTCAGGACTATGCTTCTTCAATCCCTGCCTGAACCAGTGTTGCCTGGTCTCAGGACTATGCTTCTTCAATCCCTGCCTGAACCAGTGTTGCCTGGTCTCAGGACTATGCTTCTTCAATCCCTGCCTGAACCAGTGTTGCCTGGTCTCAGGGCTATGCTTCTTCAATCCCTGCCTGAACCAGTGTTGCCTGGTCTCAGGGCTATGCTTCTGCAATCCCTGCCTGCAGTCTTCATTCTACAGAGATGAACTCTATGCAAGACTAAGCCTGACTCCCCACCAGTTTCACATACAGAGAAGACACAGACCTAAATGATTTCTGAAATCATCATATGTA